ACACAGTTTCTCCCTAGTATTTTCTATAATTACCACTATGGCTATTTTTTAAGGATTCATTTAATAAAAACACGATTCAGAAAATGTACACATGCAGGCACTATAATTACTATTTGAAGGAAAACATCCACATAGATTTCATGTTAATGTTAAAATGCTCAACAGACAGGCTCTCTCCTTGCAGGAATTTCAGACTCTTACCCTTGGTTTAGAAAAGATAAGGAAACTGGGTAAAGTACTCTTTTCTTTTCTTTTCTTTTTATTTTATTATTGTTCAATTATAGTTGTCTGCATTTACTGCTCACCACTGTCCCCCCCAACCCAGCCAAACCCACCTCCCTTCCTTGCTTCCACCTCTCCACCTTGGTTTTGTCCATGTGTCCTTTGTAGTTGTTTCTGAAAACCCTTCCCCCCATTATCCTCTCCCACCTTCCCTCTGGTTGCTGTCAGATTGTTCTTAATTTCAATGTCTCTGGTTATATTTTGCTTGCATTTTTTTTGTCAGGGTCCTATCAGAAAAACAGAAGCAGTAGAATATATACTGGTGGAGAGAAAAAGACACACCCAGAAGCGGGGGCTCATTGAGCCAGCTGGCAGCTCTCCTACCTCATCAGTTATCTCTCCTTGGAACAGCTAAGCTTAGGAGGCACACATGGAAGCCAGGCAGTGCAGTTGATTGAAAAGCTGACTGAGTAGAACAGAGCTGAAAAGGATTTCCAGCAAAGGTCTGGAATGAGAAGGGGAGGAGAGGCAGGTGTCCACTCACCAATTTACTGGAGGAAAACCTCATGCACTTTTGGAACCTTCAGATCTTCACAAGGAAGAGAACATTGTGTTAAGCACAGACTATGGGATTCCCAGATGACACTTACAGATAAATGGGGTGTGGGCATCAGCTACCCAGATTTATGGTGCAAGCCCAGGACCCCTCCTGACATAGTGCTCTGAGCCCTTTGTTCTCTAGAGGGCCAGCCCACTCCCAAGAATGCTCACCCCTTGGCTGTACACTGCTTGGGAAAATCAGACTCATAGATGTTCAGGAAGCCAAGGAGCTGTCCATACCAGAGTGGGTGGGCACAGAGGAACTGGTGGGCCCAGGTTACTGTCTTATCCAGACTCCCTGTTCTCTGGATCTGTAATGGTGACAGATAGCCAGACCACTCAGGAACCTAACATTACCAGCCATGCCCTGAGTCCCTCAGGCTCCCAGAAAGGCCCAGGGAACCTCCCTCCTCCTACTTCTCCATCCCAGCCTGTTAGCCAGTCCTATCCATCTCTGGGCTCAGTTCCCTCTCCAGCCACAGAGTCACTGCTTTATGTATAAGCCACCCTCATTACACCTGGGTTAGCTCAACAACCCCAAACTGGCCAGCCTGCAGCCACCTAGTGCCTGCCAATGGCCCTCTATCTACACTTTAGCAAAAAAAAAATTCCTTTTTGGAATTAAAATATTCTGTTAAAAAGGTAATAACAACTTGTGAAATTTTATAAAACACCTCAATTCTACCACTGTTAAGTCATTCCACACATGTTTATTGAAGACCTAATAAGTGCAATTTACTATCTACATGTCTCAAGGGAGTGAGACAGACATTAGCCTGCCCTTTTGTTCTGTGGGGAAGACTGATAAGAAACAAGTAAACAGTTAAGTAAAATAATGCTAGTAAGTTCTACAAAGGAAATAAACTCTGTTTTACAAGAGACACTAACAGGGAAGACCTGCTTGGATAAGAGTGATCTACATGGCCTCTTGTTGGAGATGACTTTTAATATGAAACCCGAAGAATAATAAGGAGCTGGTTATGTGAAGAGTAAGGGAAGAACATTCTAGGTCGAGGAAACAGAAAGTACAGAGGCTTTGGGATGGGGAACAGTGGGGTGTCTTCCAGGAGCTGCCCATTGGTAGGACAGTGGCCTGAAAGGATGCTAGGGAAATCATTCAGAGGGTGATGTGTGCTATGGCACTTTGACAGGGTTATTGTAAAAATGAAAGTAGATAATATATGAAAGCTCTTGGCACCATGTCAGCACATAGTAAATATTATAGAAATAAATGATAGTCAAATTGCCGGAAATCTGGAGTTAGAAATTTGAGGTGATGGTCCTAATAGCTCTTACTTGCTTTGTGACCTTGAAAAAGTCAACCAGCTTCACTAGGGCTCAACTTTCTTTCTGTAAAATAATACCACTTGGTAGAGTGGGGAGTAGTTGTGATTGTGCTTTGGAAAAGTATAAGCATTAGGCAAATATTAGGGAGATATTTCTTGAAAGTTCAGCTGTAGGATAGCACTGTGCAGGGGCCTGAGTACTTTCTCAAAGTTGTGTGTATACTTCATTTCAGGCAGTGACACAGAACATTGCTAACTGAAAATAAACCCGATAGTTTTGTGTGATCCCTTACATGGAAAAAAAACAAGAAATATTTAAGTGTAAAAAGCGTTTCCTTGGTAGACACAGTCTTTATGGAGAAGCAAAATAAACATAATAAATTGCATCAGCATCAAACCCAAGTTTATCAAATGCAGAAAACAAGGAGTTCTTAGCGCCACTGGCTCACAGGACTAGTGCTTCAAGAGGCTGCTGTGGAGATTGACACCACACCACCTCCTCTGCCTTTCTGTTGCCTATAAGCTGAACCAGAAAAAAAATGTACAAATAAAAATAGTACTGTCCTTCAAAGTATGGCAGCCAAAACTGTCTCTAGTCTGTTTAATGTGGTGACTTATCCAGTCCAAGGTTTTCCTTGGTCCCTCCTTCCTTCATTCATTAGTCAGTGTTCATCAGGCCTTGTGAGTGGGCACAGTCCTCTGGTCCAGACTATGGGAAGAATGAGGACATAAAATACCTAGTTACCACTTTCATGGAGACCTTGGTCAGAGTGGCAGGATATCAAATGAGTGAAAAAGATATTTACTAATTAATAAATAAGAACCAAGGCAAGCACAACTTTCTAAGAGGTAAGCTGACAATCAACAGACAGTTGTGCATTCTGCTTTGAACACTTTGTTATAAGCTTCTCTCACATTATTAAAAATTCTCCATGAATACCATTTTGATGACTGCTACATCTAGCCACATGGTTTGCCCAACCCTTTCCCACAAAAGCTGTCTTGGATATTAAGGCTTACATTTACACCAGTATGCTGGGTTCATGAAATACTCATCTGCTACTAGGAAACACTGGATAAAGCACATCAAACATGACATGCACCCTGGGAAGTTTGGGGACCACCAGTATGGTCTGATATCTCAACCCCCAAATCATCTATGTTAATGGTTGACAGCAAATCTCTGAAGTCAGGCTGCCTGGCTGTGAATACTGACTTCACCCCTTACCAACTGGGTGTCCTTGGGCAGGCAGCTGACCTCTCTGTGCCCTTTTTGCTCACCTGGAGTAGTGGGATTTAAAAAAATATTTTATGGAATTGTTATAGGAGAAAACACAAATCCTTTGCTCAGTGCCAAGAACATGGTAAGTGCTCAGTAAATGTTAGCTATTACCAAGCATTATCAGCCCACGTATATAGAAGAAACAGAGGACTCAGACCAAAATAGAAAGAGTTACAAACAAAATTTACACCCAGGCATTCTGACTCTGAATGCCACTTCTGCCCCTCATGCTGATGGTGAAAAGCCAGTGGTGAGCCAAGTAAGAGAGATTTGGGGTACAAGGGTCCCTGAGGTTGTAACCAGAGGGGCAGAAAATAACCACAGAATTGGGGAAAGATTGGGAGGAATGGGTGTAAAAGGTTACATACACGGGCCCTTGGGTCTGGAGAAGAGCCCAGGATTCAGGGGAGAAAGTAAACAACTTGTGTTGTGTGAAGAGTCACCTGTCACAAGGTAGGGCAGGGGAGGAGGGTGTTGGGAGTAAGAGTGTAGACATGTAAAGGAGCAGGTCAGGAGGAAATGAGGCCCCTTAGGAGGCTGGCTGCCAAGGAATTTTCCAAATATATTTTGTTTTACTACCCCAGTTGTGGGTCTTGGATTTGATATTGGGGGAGAGAATTATAAAAACAGTGAGAATAACAGGTTAACTTGCTCCACGCCTTTCTCTTGTATACATAATCTCCATGACGGTTTCAGTGCCCATCCCCTTCTCTGGCACTCTCTGCCTGATGAATTCCTACTCATTCCTTAAGACCCCATTGTCTTCCTTTAGTTTTCTCCTCATCTGAGTAGACACAGACGACCATTCATTCCTCCAGTAAAGGCCTTATCATATTTTATTGTACTGTTTTCTGACCTTACGTGCTAAATGTGTACTGTAAAAAGTATTTGTTGAGTGACTGAATGAATGATAGAATGAGCATTCCTATGATATTCTTGGGAAAAAGATTATTTTTCCACCTACTAAAGGAGAAACTGAGGCTGAGTGAGTGTAAGTTGCTGATTTCATATGCAGTGGGCCATACCTGGGGCTGAACCTCCTCAGTGCAAGTTCAGTGCTTTGCGGACCAGCACATTCACCGTGCATCATAACTGAAAGGTGGACTAGGACAAGTGTGGGAAAACTTCCAAGGCAGGTAGGCAGGAAGTTTTAGAGAAAACAGAGAAGGATCCTAACCCCAGCCCAAACTCTCAATGACCACCTTCCCTATCTGTAACTACTTTGTATCTGCAATAAAAATAATAAAGAAATAACCACACCTACAGAACATTTGGTAAACTAACTGTGATTTCTGAAACTCAGGATTCATGTGTGTTTTGCTTGCAGCTGTGACATGACACCTAGTATACTGGCTGGCACACAAAAGGTGCTCATTGTACATTTTTAAGGAAACTAATGAGTAGAAAGTTGAAATGTATACAACCATTGTCACTGTCAGCTAAAAAACCTTTTCTTCATATTCCCCAAGGTGGAGCAAACACAGTTAATCAGCTCTGGTGGCTCTAAGCTCTACCCTCATTCTCCACCCTCCCCACAGGTGGGAGGGACAATATTTCCAGACTGGCCTAATGTGGTCAGAGACAGTCAACCATCCAGAAGCCACTGCACCATGAGTGTGTCTGTGCTGAGCCCCACCAGAGCCTTGGGCAGCATCTCTGGGATTCTGCAGGTGGCCTCCCTGCTCTGTCTGGTTCTGCTGCTGCTCAAGGCAGCCCAGCTCTACCTGCGCAGAAAGTGGCTGCTCAAAGCCCTCCAGCAGTTCCCGTGTCCTCCTTCCCACTGGCTTTTCAGGCACCAGCAAGAAGTAAAAGCAAGTGAGACAGGGGAGTGGGCAAGCAAGGAGGGTAGGAGATCGCCAACAGGGTCATTGTCAACAGGTCTGTGGGACAAAGCCTTGTTGTATGAGAAGCACATGGTATTGGGGACAAAACCCAGTTTACCCCTCAGGGGATGGCTCCTCATCCAATGTGCTGGTGTGCTCAATCTGTCAGATCCCCCTTCCTTAGGGAGATCTGCAGGGTATTTTGGCAGCCCAGCACTGGGAGAACAATGGCTGTTCCTGAGTCTCCCTGCTGCAGGATCACAGAACAGAGCTTCTAGATGCTTCCCTGCCTATGTCCACTCATTTCTATCCCCTCTGCCAGGCGCTAAGCTTCCTGGGACATAAACATGGGTCTCATGGATCCCTGCCTGTGGGGGTTCACAGTCTGTGGAGAAGATGGACAGGATTTAAAGAAGGTGTCAGGTCACAGGAAGAGAGGCTCACCCACAGGTGGCTGTGGATAAGCTCAGGAGTAGGGGACACACCAGCTTGGTAGGCCTGCGACTATGGGATTGTTCAGACTGGTGATGGCAGTGCTAAACTCCTGACAAGGTACTGGCCCATATGATCAGGAATGCTTCCAGGATGGTCCAAGGTAAGGAGTACTGGCATTTGAGTTGCACCAGTAAAAAGAATGTCTTTCCCTCCCAGCTCTCATACCCCAAACTCCTGCCCTGTGAGCTCCTTTTGGCTGAGGATATCATACCTCTTTCTGTACCCTCAGACCCATCACAGTGCCTGACACAAAGGGATGCTTGACTCAGGTATGCAGACTAACAGGAAAGGAGCAGCTTGCAGGTTGGGTGACATACAGCGCTACCCTGCCAGCTGTGTTAGCATTAGTCCCTGGGGGAAGGGTGCAGAGCAAGGTGAGGGGCTTGCTTGTAGGGAGACTACCCTAGGGTTTGTGGATTGAACAAACCTGAAAAGAAAAGGAGGACAAGTGATTATCAACAGAGTGGAGCCAAAAATTGGAACTCTTCATGACAACCACAGAGAGACAGCCAAAGCCCAGTTTGTTCATGCAAATGTGGTACTAATGACTTCCAGATTATTTGTTGATTTGGAGAACTTGTGACTTGTGTTGATGCAGTTCTCACCTTGCTGAGGTAGGATTTGATGGAGGGCACCACTACACTTTACTCCTGTGACTTACCCATTATACTGAGGCCCTTAGATGACATATAGACTCAGAAACAGAATATTTATATATTTATATAACAAATAAACTTCATGCAGCCAAATTTTATTGCTTTTATAATACTGCCTGAGATTTTCACATATACAATACCTCTGTTATTGGCTAAGTCATGAATTGAATGCCAGATGTTCCATTCACATTGAAGCTAATCTTTCAGACTAGATAACGACTGACAAGGTGGCAGTTAACCTATGGGCTCTATTGCTGAGATACCTAGATTCATATCCCAGCTCTACCACATACTTCAAATGCCTTCTCTATCACTCCTCCTCTGTAGCTTGTGGACACAGACCAAGGGCCACCATTACACTCACTCTGAATTTAAAATAATTTTAATGCCTAAGAAGGACAACCATGTGGAAGGTACAACCTCTCTGCATTAAGTAGAATCCAGTGGGGACTATAGAAAAGGGAACTAATGTCTTAGGGATTCACATAACCCAAATTGCGCCATTTTCTTCCTTGTCCTCTCACCAACACAGGCATACCTGCTATTTCAGCAGAGCCCACATCTGACTATTGCTTGTGTGGCCAAACCATTATCTGTCCATCTACACTTTTTGTATCTCCCTTTGGGGAAATTGCTTTGTGGTTGCAGTTCCCAGGATCAGCCAGGTGAGGACAACTCCAGGGCAGCACCACCTGTGTGGAGTGGCTGAAGCACAGGGGTCAGATGGACACTGGGTATTTGCCTACAGGTTTGTAACCCCTGCCAGCATGGGCAACATCCCCTCTACAAGAGTCTCTACTGGCTCTGGCCACAGACACTCAGGGACACCTGGGAGTCCCAACTGGTGGTCAGGAGGGCAGACACACTAGTGGATGCCCAAATGGGCTAGAGAGAAGAATGGAAAAGCAGAACAAAGTGTAGCCCCTCTCAGTCCCCAAAGGGATCAAAGGAGAGAGCCCAGGAGAAGAATTTTTGGGAAGCTTGGGCACCAAGCAGTTGGAAAGAAAGCATGCTACTGTGCTGAAACAGGGTCTCCCAGATCCCTGCTGGGCCAGTAGGAGGGGACCCTAGAAGACCAAGTAGCATAGCTGGGGTGGTAAGAGGCTCCCACTGGTCAGTCCCCACCTTGAATCAAAGGTGAAGGGCAGTACCAATAATGCACATGATTTGGAAGCATAAAGCATCCACCTTAAATACTTCAAGCAGGACATTTCTCAGCTCATGGTGGGACTGTCTGCCCAGCGGCACTGCCACTTGAACATAAGCTCCATGAGAGCAGACCTCCAGCAACTAGGATGACAATTGACCCAAAGCGCTCAATACATGTTATGAAATAAGTGAATGCATCTATTCATCTACTCACTTGTGTATTTGCTCATCACTATAGAGAAAACCTTGTGGGATGTCTTCGCAGCCCACCTGCTCTGAGATTTCTTCCCCACAAAGCGTGGGCCCCTGAATACCCTATACAACCCCAGCCACAGTTGATTATAGCAGGTGAACACCTTGGTCATATTACCATCAGATTCTCCTATGGGATTCCTAGTGCCCCTCAGACATGACATGTTAGAATGGTGCCAATCAAGAAGGGTACAGGTGCTCTTTCCTCCACATGCCCTCAGCTCCTTGAAGATGGGGACTGTTGTCTGTTTATCTGTGACTGTATTGCCAACTTCTAGAGAATTCTCACGTAGACCCCACTAAACACTTGGTAAGAGAATGAAAGCATGTATGTACATAGGAAGAATGAGAGACTCAGTCCTGGCCACTGTCCAGTTCCCAGTTCTGCTCCTTCCACACCCTGGCTGCCTGCTGCCCTAAGCTCTGTGAAATAACCTGGGGCCCTCAGCCTTCTCTTTGTGCCTTTTCTGTTTCTTACATTAGCTCCAGATGATACCTGTCACTTGCAACAAGAATTTTTAACAAGACTCACTCATTCACTCTCCTACACATGCTCATTCATTCCTTCTCACACTTTTTTATTCTTATAAAAATAAGGCATAATTTCTAAAAGCCATGCTCTAAGAATACAGAGATTACAGATATTAAAGGTAAGTTTGCCAACACAGGACCCTGCAATTAGAACACTGAGTTAAGATATGATCAAAGAGACACCCAGATTGCTGTGGGAACACTGAGGTCAGCAGGCTTGGATAAAAATTGGCTTACCTGAGTATAGCCTTTCAAGGTTTCCTCATTCTTCAGTGAAATAGGAGAATGTAATAATCCATCCCCACTCACAGATGTGCCTTGTTTGTTACACAATTGCACTACCTGTTAGGGTGCTTAAGAAAAAGGGTGGCTAAAATAGCAAGATTAATTGTCTCACAGTTCTGGAGATTAGAAGTTCAAAATCAAGATGTTGGTAGGGTTGGCTCTTTCTGAAGACTGTGAAGGAACCATATGCTCAAGTCCTCTCTCCTTGACTAGTAAACCACAATCTTCTCCACATGTCTCTTCATATCATCTTCCATTTGTGAGTGATGGTTTCTCTGTCCACACTTCCCCTTTTTCATAAACACAGTTATAGTAGATTAGGACTCACTCTAATGACATCTTTTTAACTTAATTACTACTATAAAGGTTCTATCTGGAAAGAAAGTCACATTCTGATGTACTAGGGATTAAACCTTTCAACATATGAATTTTAAAGGGACAAAATTTAACAAATACCTCAAACATAAGTCTATGAAAAAGGCATGTGCACCATTCAGTCTGTAACTGAACATTTATCAAACACATACTAAGTGAAAGTTTCCAAGGGCAGTTCTGAGTGAGGGCTCAACCAGAAGCCAGAATCTGACTTTAGATCAAGTTTTGATGAAGAGCAAGAATCCAGATCACAACCTGGTTGATCAGAACCAGTTCCAAGCTCCTGATCACTACTTAGATCCAGAATTATCTCTCTCTAGCTATCTTAACCTTCACCACCATTCCAAGCACTAGACCTAAAGAGAAAGGTTTTGTTGATTTGTCTTTCCCTTGCTTATAGTTCCAGAATGACCAGGAGCTACAACAGCTTCAAAAAAGGGTAGAGAAATTTCCATGTGCCTGTCCTCACTGGCTGTGGGGGAGTGAGGCCAGATTCCTGGTTTATGACCCTGACTACATGAAGGTAATCCTAGGAAGATCAGGTGAGAGTGAAACCTGAATTTCATCTGGAGCAGCTCTTTCATCTGTGTTGTGACATTCTAGTGGAGACTTTAGTTCTGCCAGCATTCCCTGAACCCTCTACCAACCACTGTCCCAGACCACAAGCCAGCTTAAGGTCAAAAATATCTGCTGTAACTGAATGCTGAAACAGCCTGCTGGGCCAATATTTTTTCTATCTTCTTTATTTGTTGTTTCCTTTCCTTCCTTCCTTCCTTCCTTCCTTCCTTCCTTCCTTCCTTCCTTCCTTCCTTCCTTCCTTCCTTCCTTCCTTCCTTCCTTCCTTCTTCCCTCCCTCCCTCCCTCCCTCCTTCCCTTCCTTCCTTCCATTTCTTCCTTTCTCTTTTAATCAGATTGTGATGATCTGTTATATAAAGTCCCCAGATCTGAAAAACAATTTCTACCAACCTTGACTTTGGTGTCTCACTTCTAATTGTTGCCTGTCCTGGAGACATGAAGCTCCCACAAACTGCAGGAAGACCACAGACTATTGCATTTTCTGTGGCACTGAATACAGTGCCTATGTTTCTTGCTGATTGACCATTCTAATCCTGTGGACATTCTGCTGCTGGGACACTGAGTCTGCCTTCCTGAGCCCACAGCAACTGCTGGGAAAGAAACACTTAGAGATGGGAAGCATGTTGGAGACAAACCTGAGACAAACTTCCAGCTACAATCTCAGGAAGGGATGACAGCCCATGGTCTGGACCACAGCTGCTTCCTGGGGATTCCCTGCCTTGTTTGAACACCCCCAGTTTACTTTAATGCCTTTCTATTAACTTTCAGACCCAAAGGTTCATGATGACTGCAGGTTCCTGGCTCCGTGGATTGGTAAGTATGTCTAACCAGTACTGTGAGGTCCACCTGCCTTACCAAGAGCTGTCTCTTTGACTCACAGAGAACAACAGGTAACCAGCACCATATCACTGCCATCATCAATGAATCAAGCCTTATTTCTCTTCTAATAAAACCTCACTGCTTCTAGGTCGTGGTAAGAGCTCCTCTGAAACTCAGCTTCTTCCCATCACCTCTCAGTGCTCTTCAATGTTTTCAGAGTGACATTTACTTACAACCTTCTATTACCAGCCCCCCTACTCTATCTCACCCTTTAACTCACAGCTGTCATAGTAACATCCCATGTACCTTCCACTTTGGGAAATTCACATTCCTGAAATACACTGGCCTTTCCTTCCTTTGCCCATGATGTACCTTCTTCTGACATCCCTGGTTCCTTCCAAATTGTCCCCTGTCATCCTTCTGCTTCCATATCCCCACCCCACACTCCTATCTGTGGCCAGGGTATGGTTTGCTCCTGTTGAATGGACAGACATGGTTCCAGCACCGGAGGATGCTGACCCCAGCCTTCCACTATGACATCCTGAAGTCTTATGTGGGTATTATGGCCAACTCCGTCCGAGTGATGCTGGTAAGTCCATCCCTTTTTTATCTGCACACACCCAATCTCAGCACAACACACATGGTGCACTCTAGGATATATGGATCCTTCAGACATCCATCAGATAGAGCCAACCCAAATAATTCAGCCTATCAGAACTTACCATGTGACAGAACTTCCCAAAGTGGATGGGACAGGCAGTACCTAGGCACCACCTTGAATCCACAGGACTTTGGTCACTGCCAAGGGAAAGGAGGGCCATGGAAGGAACAGGGTGCACTCACCACTCACCTGTACATCTTCAGCACAGTGGACTAGAGGAACAGTCCTTCCTCTTCACAATAAGACAAACTGCCACTAGCACACCTGAGCAGTGAAAGCTTCGGTGACAGGGTGGACATCCCAGGATGACATTCAGGGGGACTCTGGCTTGGAGCACAGGCTTCAATATGAAATTGAGTCACTGTGTGGAAGAAAATGGAGATTACATCCTCACTCACAGAGCCAGGTCCTGCCATTGCATCACATGTTACCTGGTCTCTGATCTCAACAGCTATGCTCATTTCATGAATGAAAAGAATTAAAAAGTCCCTGGTGTCCCTTCCTCAGGAGCCCTAGTACTGGTCACTTAGGTGTCCTCTTGCCTTGACATATTTGCTACCTAGAATTAAAGGGCACCAGGTGTTCCTTGGGTCTAGCTTAACCCCACAAAAAATTCCCTTTGTCCCCTTAGAAACAATGTTTTCTGGTCTGCTTAAAAGTGATTACCATAACTTATTTCTAAATTTCAAAAATACTTCATGTCATTATGAGAAAAATCTTTAATTTTATAATAAAAGGTTGTGAGAATATAGCTCTAACTTTATCATTGTTTGCATTACAGTCTAAAAGTGCTACAATGCCTCTGTTCTGGAAAGTGAAGGGTTCCAAACAGGTGTCTGAAGAGACAGAGAAACAAACTAGCTATGTCAGCTGAGGCCCTCTGGAGCAGTAGACTTGGATCAATGTCTCTCTTCCACTACAGGACAAATGGGAGGAGCTCATCAGCCAGGACTCCCATCTGGAGATATTTGAACACATCTCCTTGATGACCCTGGACACCATCATGAAGTGCACCTTCAGCCAGCAACGCAGCGTCCAGACAAACAGGTCTGTCATGATCCTTGAGCTGCAGGCTTTTTGTTTCTGTCAACTGATATGGACTCAGTGGGAGGCAGTTTAGGCAGGTACAATGCTCACCAGCTCAAAAAGCAAGAATCTGTGCAGAGCTGCTGACCATGGACAAATTGCAGTCCAGACCAATGCTTGACTCATCCACATATCCCTGATACCTGGCAAAGGCTCATTCCTGGTTGTTCATATCACTTCTTTCTTCGTTTTTTTTTTATTATATTATTGTTGTTTAATTACAGTTGTCTGCATTTTCCCCCCACCACTCCCCACCACCCCAGCCAAACCCACCTCCCTCCCTTGCTTCCACCCTCCCCTTTGGTTTTGTCCATGTGTCCTTTATAGTAGTTCCTAAAACCCCTTACCCCCTTTATACCCTCCACCCTCCCCTCTGTTTACTATCAGATTCTTCTTAATTTCAATGTCTCTGGTTATATTTTGCTTGCTTTTCTCTTTCGTTGATAATATTGCAGTCAAAGGTGAGATCATATGATATTTGTCCCTCAACACCTGGCTTATTTCACTTAGCACAATGCTCTCCAGTTCTCTCCATGCTGTTGTAAGACATAGGAGCTCCTTCTTTCTTTCTTCTGCGTAGTATTCCAATGTGTAAATGTACCATGGTTTGATCCACTCATTTACTGATAGGCACTTAGGTTGCTTCCACCCCTTGGCTATTGTAAATTCTGCTGCTATGAACACTGGGGTGCATAGGTTTTTCTGGATTGGCGTTTCAGGGTTCTTAGGATTTAATCTGAGCAGTGGAATTGCTGGGTCAAAAGGCAGTTCCATTTTTAGTTTTCTGAAGAAATTCCATACTGTTTTCCACAGTGGCTGCACCAGTCTGCATTCCCACTAACAGTGCACTAGGGTTCCCTTTTCTTCTCATGCTCTCCAACACTTGTTTGTTGACTTGTTTATGGTCACTATTCTGACCTGTGTGAAGTGGTATCTCATTGTGGTTTTAATTTGCATCTCTCTGATGGCTAGTGATGCTGAGCATCTTTTCATATGTCTCTGGGCCCTCTGTATGTCCTCCTTGGAGAAGTGTCTGTTCAAGTCTTTTGCCCGGTTTTTAATTGGATATTTTGTCTTCCTGGAATGGAGTCATGTAAGTTCTTTATATATTTTGGAGATCAAACCCTTGTCTGTGGCATCATTGGCAGATATGTTTTCCCACATAGTTGGTTGTGTTTTCATTTTAATGCTGTTTTCTTTAGCCATGCAGAAGCTTTTTAATTTGATGAGGTCCCATTTGTTTATTCTTTCCTTTATGTCCCTTTGATAAGGAACATATCAATGAAGATGTTGCTGCGTTGAATGTCTGAGATATTCCTGTTGTTGTTTTTGTCTAGGACTTCTCTGGTGTCACAACTTATATTTAAGTCTTTTATCCACCTTGAATTTATTTTTGTGTATGGTGTAAGTTGGTGATCGAGTTTCATTTTTTTGTATGTATGTGTCCAGATCTCCTAACACCATTTGTTGAAGGAGCCATTTTTACTCCATTTTGTGCTTCTTCCCCCTTTGTGAAATATTAATTGACTGTCCAGACTTGGATTTATTTCTGGGCTCTCTGTTCTTTTCCATTGGTCTATGTGTCTGTTCTTATGCCAGCACCAGGCTGTTTTCATTACAGTGGCCTTGGGATATACTTTGATGTCAGGTATTGTAATCCCTCCTACTTTGCTCCTCTTTCTCAAAATTGCTTCAGCTACTTAGGGTTGTTTATGGTTCCATATAAATTTCTGAAATGTTTGTTCTGTATCTGTAAAATATGTCTTGGTACTTTAATAGGGATTGCATTGAATCTATAAATTACTTTGGGTAGTATGGCCATTTTGATGATGTTAATTCTTCTAGTCTATGAGCATGGTACATGCTTCCATTTGTTTGTGTGTTCCTTAATTTCTTCTTTAGTGTTGTTAAGTTTTCTGAGTACTGGTCTTTTACCTCCTTGGTTAGGTTTATCCTTAGGTACTTTATTTTTCTTGTTGCTATATCAAATGGGATTTTTTTCCTGGTTTCTGTTTCTGATATTTCATTGTTCATGTACAAAAATGCCTTTGATTTATGAATATTGACTTTGTATCCTGCTGTTTTGCCAAATTCACTTATTAGGACATGTAATTTTTTGGTGGAGTCTATAGGATTTTCTATGTACACTATCATGTTTCAATGCCTTTTATTTCTTTTTCTTGTCAGATTGCTGTGGCTAGGACTTCCAATAATATGTTGATTAGGAGTGGTGAAAGTGGGCATCCTTATCTTCTTCCTGATCTTAGTGGGAAAGCTCTAAATTTTTGCCCATTGAGTTTAATGTTGGCTGTAGTTCTCTCATATAAGGCCTTTATTAAATTGAGGAATGCCCACTCTATTCCCACTTTCATAAGTGTTTTTAACATAAATAGGTGCTGTACCTTATCAAATCCTTTTTCCACATCTATTGATATGATCATATGATATTTCTTTCATTTTGTTTGCGGGATGTATTACATTTATTGGTTTGCAAATATTGTATCATCCTTGCATCCCTGGGATGAATCCCACTTGATCATGGTGTGTGGTCACTACAACTTATTGCTGGATGCAGTTCGCCAATATGTTGTTGAGGATTTTAGTGTCTAGGTTCATCAGCGATATTCACCTGAAGTTTTCTTTCTTTATCTTTATCTGGTTTTGGGGTTAGGATGATTCTGGCTTCATAACAAGAGTTTGGGAGTCTTCCATCTTCTTGAATTTTTTGTAATAATATGTGAAGGATAGGGGTTAGCTCTTCCTTAAATGCTTTGTAAAATTCTCCTGTGAAAACGTCCTTTTCAGGACTTTTCTCTGTTGGAAGTTTTTGATTACTGCTTCAATTTTGTCACCTGGTATTGGTCTATTCAGGCTTTCTGCTTGTTCTTCATTGTTTTGGAAGATTATATTTTTGTAGAACTTTGACCATTTCACCTAGGTTTTCAATTTCTTGGCATATAGTTCTTCATAGTAATTTCTTACAATCCTTTATATTTCTGTGGTATTAGTTGTGATCTCTCCTCTTTCATTTCTGATTGTTTTTATTTGGATCCTCTCTCTTTTTTTCTTGATGAGTCTGCTTAAAGACTTGTCAATTTTGTTTATCCTCACAAAGAACCTGCTCCTGGATTCATTGATCCTTAGAATTGTGCTTTTAAACTGTATGTCATTTAATTCTGCTCTGATCATGGTTATTTCTTTCCTTCTGCTTGCTCTGGGCTGTCTTTGTTGCTGTTCCTCAGGTTCTTGTAGGCATAGAATTAAGTCATTTATTTGAAATGTTTCCATCTTTTGGGGGAAGGCCTGTATCATTATGAACTTCCCTCTCAGAATTGCCTTCACTGTGTCCCATAGTTTATTTTCATTTTTTCCCCAAAACTTCCTGATTTCTTCCTTAATCTCGTTATTGACCCATTCATTGTTTAATAGCATGCTATTCTATGTCCATGAGTTTGAGTGTTTTGGGTTTTTTTCCTTGAGGTTTGTTTCTAGTTTCAGTCAATTGTGGTGGGAGAAAATCATTGATATGATTTCAATTTTCTTGAACTTGTTGAAGCTTGTTTTGTGTCCTATCATGTCATCTGTCTTTGAAAATATTGCATGTGCATTTGAAAAGATGTGTATTTTGCTTTTGGGGGATGAAAGGATATATGTAAAATCAGTTAAGTCCATTTGATCTAGGGCATTATTCAATGCCACAGTAAGTTTGTTGATATTATGTTTGGAATATCTGTTTGTTTTTGACAGTGGGGTGTTAAAATCCCCTATTGTAATTGTGTTGCTGTCAGTATCTTTCTTGAAGTCCTCCAAAATTTTCTTTATGTATTTGGGTGCTCCTATTTTGGGTGCATATATATTTACAATGTTTATGTGTTCTTGATGGATTCTTCCCTTGAGTATTATGAAATGACCTTCTGTGTCTTGTTTTATGGCTATTTTTTGGAAGTCTATTTTGTCAGATATGAGTACTACTACCCCAGCATTTTTTCCCTGTCCATTTGCTTGGAATATTTGCTCCCAGCCCTTCACTTCAGTCTATGTATGTCCTTTGTTCTGAGGTGGGTCTCTTGTAGGCAGCATATATGTGGGTGATGATTTCTTATCCATTCAGCTATTCTATATCTTTTGATTGGGGCATTTAATCCATTTCATTTAAGGTTATTATGATAGGTATGTATTCATGGCCATTTTTTTGTACCTGTTTCCTTTCTCTGTTACTGTTTTTCTTCCTGTTCTTCAAGCAGACCCCATAGCATCTCTTGCAGAGCTGGTTTGGAGTTGGTATATTCCTTGAGGCTTCTTTTGTCTGGGAAGCTCCTTATTTGGCCTTTTATTTTAATTGAGAGCCTTGCTGGAAAAGTAGTCTCAGTTGCAGGTCCTTGGTTTTCATTACTTTGAATATTTCCTATCATTCCTTTCTGGCTTGTTGGTTTCCATTGAGAAGTCAGCTGCTAGCCTTATTGGGGCTCCCTTGTATGTTACTTCCTGTTTCTTCCTTGTTGCCTTTAAGATTCTCTCTTTGTTTTGGAATTTTACCATTTTAATTATGATGTGTCTTGAAGTGGGCCTCTTTGGGTTCGTCTTGATTGAGACTCTGCATTTCCTGGATTTGTGTGACTTTTTCTCTCATTAAATCAGGAAAGTTTTCCAGCATTACATTTTCAAATAGGTTTTCTATTCCTTGCTCTTCTTCTTGTCCTTCTGGTATCCCTATTATATGGATAGTATTATTTTTAATGTTGTCCTGGATTTCCCTTAACCCCTCCTCATTCTTTCTGAGTCTCTTTTCCTTTTCTTGCTCTTTCTGGGAGTTTTTTTCTACCTTGTCCTCCAGCTCACTGATCTGATCCTCTGCTTTATCAAGCCTGCTTTTCATTCCTTTTACTGTATTCTTCAGCTCAGAAATTGTATTCTTCATTTCCTCTTTTCCCTGTTGATAGTTTGTATTTCCTTTTTCATGT